CCTCAAAACCCCAAAACCCCAAAACCCCGGAAGCTCGTGATAATCTAAATTAAAGGAATTGATAAAATTAAAAGGTGCTTATAGTTCAATATATTAAAGTTTCATAAAATGATCGATCCACTATTTATAACTCAATTCAATGGATTGTCTCTGAGATAGCGATCAACTGTCTCGCCTAATCTAATAATTTGATGTCCCACATCTTTGTTAATCTAATTAACAATGAAGTGAGGCATATGGCTACCCAAATCAATTTCCACGACATAGGTGCAAAGCGTTTAAGTTGGTGTAATGGGTTCAAACCTCCAGCAGCCCAAATGCAACCACATTCTAACAATATGCTTCTAAATGGGTTTTAAATCGTCTCTGCTAACTGAAAATACTGTAACATTTACTGACCCATCTTCCTTCTTAACTCTATGATGAATTGCAAGAAAATCTCGGGCTGATACTAGAAGATATTTTTTCGTTGTTTAGTAGAATATATGTGTTTAGTTGGGAACTATAGTTTCAAGTACTTCAGAATGCCCGAAACCTTTATCATAGTGATGCTGATAGCTGCTGTCTAGGAATGCTTTCAAAATATGATCTATTGAATGGTCAATTACGCCTTGAGCTTTCATTGATTTGATGTTATTTTTAGATATTCTCTGCCAGATATGCAGTTACTTTTTCTTATCTTCAACTGATATCTTCCAGTCAGGGAAGTTGATGCTTGCTAGAAATTCCTATTCTTTTTCCTAGGCTTATGACAAGTATTCTAAAGTGTTAAATTAGTTTGTTTCTAAAAATACTTTATTATTCAGCTGAAAGTAGTAACGTTAAACTCTCTTTAAAATAAGACTCATCTAAAGTATTCTTAGTTATCATACTTCTGTCAATTTCCATTTCAATCTCCTTTGTAGTTGGATCTAAAAAGTTTTTTGTAATTTTAATTTACCTTGCTTTTAAGGATTCGGAACAGTCTTTATATTACTATGGTGATGAGGATTTGTCTAGATGCTAATTTAATTAACATTTAAGTTATTTTTTCCACCCTATTAATCATATTTAATATCCCAACTTATATTACGTGTATAGAAGTGTGGTTTATTCCAGCAAATTATGAGTCAGTCTGAGGCAAGATGACTCTTAAAATACAATCCAAATCTGGGCAAGACTAAGCAAGGACCTTATTGAAGTCATTATATATTTGATAAGGGGTCTCTTCCTCACCATCAATTTATTATTGTCTAAAATAAATATTTATTTATCCAAAGTGTTGAGAGATCAGAAATACCTGGTGATTAATAGAGTAAAGTACAAGGAACACTCAAGATTCAATATCTCAATGACTTTGAACTTGTAATAGAATGTTGATAATTGATTTAAATTTTTTGGGTCAGAATTTTATATCTCTTCCTTCACATACAAGGCACCTTTCCTATCTTTTACTATAGACTATCTCATTTCTTAATGTACTTCTTGTCTCTTGGAATCAAGATAGATGAAAGTTTGATTGTCATTATCATTGAATAGAATCTTATTGAGCTGGGGATCCCATAGCTTTCTGGTTGAGAGATCAGTTATTATGTTTGAGAGTTAGGAAAGCTGATCGACGTAGTACCTTATTATCTAATTTAGACTCATTGCTTTAAATTAAATTCTATAATAATTCTATCTTAAAGCTATTTTAATATCCATTTATTTTGATGTTTAAGTATCCCCTGGGGTTTTGGGGTTTTGGGGTTTTGGGG